CTGACCATGTGCAAATTAGACAGGAAACTTACAGGTCTTGAAGGAAGCCAGAGTGGACCAATGCCATTTATTGTTGAATTTGCAATCATTTCCTTTGGATGATGGTACTTGCAATCAGATCCATATTTGCAAGTGACAGTGTTCATGTAATACCGACATTCTGGTTGATCAGGTCTTTCAGGAAAATTTGAAGCATCCAAGAGCAGTTGTCCACTAGAACCTGACTCGGTTGGATTCACTAAGTTATAAGGTGTTGAAAACGTGAAGTACAATGAATATTATCAGTTTATTTTCATTGCTCAATATTTCAATTACATTGCAACCAGCTTATATAGAAGCTGTGCCTTCAAGTTTACTCAATCTCTATAATAACTTTCATAACAGAATCTAACATCCCTCAACAACCATAACAGCTCACTCACTCATACAATAGGAACACATGCACACTATCCAACATATTCTAGAACTCTGAGTATTCTAGAATACATATTCCAATATTCACCCCGCTTCATCATCTTCTGCTTTTAATAAGATAACACACACATCTTCTCTCGAAATAGTTCAAATGCTCATTTTGTAAGTGGCTTTGTAAGACCATCTGCTACTTGGTGAGATGCATGCACATAATTGACTTGAAGCTGATTTGCTGCAACCTTTTCACGCACAAAATGTACATCCATATCAACAAGTTTGGATCGTGAATGATAGACAGGATTGGTGCTTAAGGCCACAGTACTAGTGTTATCACACCACTCAACGGGCATGTTTCGATGTTTAACGCCAAGCTCACATAACAATGAACTCATCCACATTACTTCTACAGCAGCATCAGCTATAATTCGATACTCAGCTTCCATGGTAGATCTCGAAATGATTTTCTGCTTCTTAGAACACCAAATCACAAGACAGTGACCAAGAAATACTGCATGACCAGAGACGGACCTCCTGTCATCCAAGCTGCCACCCCAGTCAGCATCAGTAAATGCTACAACATCTTGTGAAACATCATTGCTCGAAAAAGTTAGGCTATAGTTTAGAGTACTGGCCAGATATTTGAGTATTCTTTTAACAGCAGCTAGATGTAATTCACGTGGAGCATGCATGAATTGTGTTGCTTTATTGACACTGAATGCTATATCAGGTCTTGTATGGCATACATACAAAAGAGCTCCAACAATGCTTCTATATTCACGAGCATCGCTTAATAATGCACCAACTTCCTGAGTCATTTTCGAGGCTCCAATCATTGGAGTAACTGTAGGTGTGGCATTCAACAAGCATATCTTTTCCAGCAATTCAATAATGTATTTGCGTTGAGATAGTAACATCGCCTCTTCTGTACGTTTAACCTTAATTCCCAAGAAGTAGGCCAGGCTCCTTAGATCCTTCAAAGAAAAATCACGACTCAAAGCATGAACAATACTATCAATACTAGGTGATGAGTCACCTGTAATTATAATGTCATCGACATACACAAGTATGTATATACGACAGTCTGCATCAATTCTAACAAATAAAGAAACATCAGCCTTGGATTCAGTAAACCCCAATCGAATTAAGCTTGTTTTGAGTTTATCATGCCAATTCCTCGGTGCTTGTCTAAGACCGTATAATGCCTTATTTAGTTTGCACACAAGAACACTTTCATCAACAGCATATTTTTCAAATCCAGGTGATTGTTGCATAAAAACATCCTCTGCTAACTTACCATTTAAGAAAGCATTGTTTACATCAACATGTCTAATGCACCACTTCCTTGTCACTGCAATTGACAGCACAATATTCAATATAGAAAACTTGATAATAGGGTTGTAAGTATCCTTGAAGTCATAACCTGGAACTTGCAAATAACCCTTTGCCACTAATCTGACTTTATACCTTTGAACAGACCCATTAGGGTTCTTTTTTATTCGAAATAACCACTTACAGCCAACAGCAGTGCGATCCTCAGGTAACTTGACAAGAGTCCAAGTGTTGTTTGTCAGTAGAGCATCGAATTCTGCTTGAACTGTTTCTTTCCTCCTTAGTGATGTTAAAGCTTATACACATCACGTGGTTCTTCATTAACAATTGAACTAACATACACCTTTGGCTTAAACACACCACATTTGCTTCTGGTCATCATGTGGTGTGTATTTGTGGGCATATCAGAGTTGACACCTTCACTTGGAGTGCACTCATTAACAGACTGTGGAACAACAGTTTCTTCATGTGCATCATCATCTTGTGTAGCATCATTTTGTGTAGCACTCGAACTATCAACCACATCTTCTTGTGCTTCATTCTGACTATTGCTCGTTGCTGCCACATTAGAACTGAAGTAATTACTTGACACTGTTGCTGGACTGTTGTTGGTCATAGAATTATTATCATAACCCTCAGCAAGCACATGCTGAAATTTATGAACAACTGCCACAATCTGCAAAGAACTAGATGAAGCATGAGTATTATACTCATTAGATACCTTCTCATGCAATTTTGCAAAAGGAAACTGTAGCTCATCAAAGACTACATGTCTGGATGTATACATTCGACCAGTGGAATCAATACATTGAAAACCTTTATGTTGTGGGTTATACCTTAAAAACGTATAGGGTTTAGACCAAAATTCAAGCTTGTACTTTATATAAGGTCTCAAATGAGGGAAACACAAACACCCAAACACCTTTAGCTGTCTATAGTCATGTTTCTTTTGAAATAACTTTTCAAAAGGAGATATCCCTTCTAAAACCCGTGTAGGAAGCCTGTTGATTAAATATACAGCTGTAACAATAGCATATGCCCAGAATTTGAATGGCAATGAGGCTTGTGCAAGCAGAACCAGGGCAAGTTCAATCACATGATGTTGTTTACGTTCAACTACTCTATTTTGTTCTGATGTATGTGGACATGTTAAGTGATGATCAATGCCACAATGAAGTAAATGCCTTGATAAGCTTCTATATTCTCCTCCCCATTCACTTTGGACTACTTTTATAGGTAGATCGAATTGAGTCTTGATCATCTGCTGAAACATTTTAAATGCAACAAATGCTTGAGATTTATCATGCAACATATACAACCAAGAGTGCCTTGTACATGCATCCACAAAAGTTACATACTATTTGTAGCCATTGGAGACCACATGAGAGGGCCCCCACAATTCTGTAAAAACCAGCTGAAACGGAGTGTCATACACATAATTAGAGTCAGGAAAGGGTAATTTATGGCTCTTTCCCATATGGCATGCAACACAAGTTGAACTATTATTTCTTGAAGGAAGTTTTACATTCATCTATTGACACACTTTAATTAGGCTATCATGCGAGGGATGTCATAACCGCTGATGCCACAAATCATACTCATTTTTTGACAACTGTGTTGAATTAATTTCTGCCCTAGCACCATTAGCAACTACAAACTGCACACCAAAGAAATATAGACCACCATCTTCTCGGCCTCGAAGTAAAACTACTCCAAACTTCTCATCACGAACAAAGCATTCATGTGCATGAAACTCAAGAAAGACATTATTATCCCTAGTAAGCTTTGACACCGAGAGCAAATTTTTGGTTATTTGTGGTACATGCAATAAGTTGGTTAGCAATAGCAGTCGAGAGGATGAATTCAAGGATACATAGCCTAGTTTGATTGATTGAACTTTAGAGGCTTTCTATGATCTATCTGGTCTTAGGCTTGATGCCCAGAAAACTGAGCTCTTTGCTTGTGGCTTAACTGACCCTGTTCTTCAACTAATTCAATCTGGTACTGGATTTAAAGTTGGGATGCTTCCTGTTAAGTATCTTGGGGTACCTCTGGTCACTAGAAAGCTTTATTGTAAGGACTGCTATGCTCTATTGACTAAGATTAAAGAGAAACTTGGCAAATGGTCTGATAGGAAGCTGAGCTATGGGGGCAGGCTTCAGCTCATCAAATCTGTCCTATTTAGTGTCTTTAGATACTGGAGTAGGCACCTCATTTTGCCTAAAAGGGTCATAAGAGACGTGGAAAGATTGTGCATGAGATTCTTTTGGAAAGGTAGTGATTCCTCAGCTAGAGGTGCCTGGGTCTGCTAGAACCAGATTTGCTCCCTGAAATCTGAGGGAGGCTTGGGGTTAAGAAGTCTGACTGACTGAAGTAAAGCTTGTTGCCTCCTACTTATCAAAAAAATATTGGCAGGTGATGGTTCTCTCTGGATTGCTTGGTTAAATGCCTATTGTTTCAGAACTGTTGATTTCTGAAATGTTGAATACAAGGCTCACTTTAGTTGGATCATAGCTAGGTTGCTTAAGATGAGGAATGAAGCTGCGAGTTTATTCTGCTCCAACAGTAATTGGGATCAAATCAAAGCCAGGTGGATATGGGATAGGATTCGAAGTAGGGGTGAAAAGGTTTGCTGGCATCGCCTTGTATGGTTCCCTGGCCATGTTCCAAAATTTTCTCTGATTACATGGATGGAAATCTTGGATAGATTGCCTACAAAGGACAGATTAGCTAGATTTGGTATAGCTACAGATGGTGTTTGTGGTCTGTGTAGTTCTGGTCTGGAAACCCGTAATCATATATTCTCTGAGTGTACCTTGCAAATGAAACTTGGTGTGCTATCTTGCTTCTGTGTGGCCTTAACCAGGCGTCTCTTGGATGGAATAATCTTCTGCAATGGTTGTTGCTGAATCTTAAAGGCAAATCCTTGCTGGTGCATATGCTCAAGTTGCATGGACTGGTTTTATCTACTGTATTTGGGAGGAGCGGAATCGTAGGCAGTTTCGAGGGATGCATCACTCGGTTGATACTGTTGTTAGTTGTGTTAAAGAATCTGTGAGAATTAAATTGTATAGGAGCCCCATGAATAGAATTGATATTGTAAATAGGCAATTGTGTATAGATTGGGGTCTGATATAGTGGCTTGTTTTGTTTGTAGCAGCTTGGCTGCATTCTTTTGAATAAATGCAATTCTACTTATCCAAAAAAAAAAAAGTCACGACTGGTGGCATAACCAGAAAACTTCATTTTGCCATATATCAAGTTAACATTCTCGCACATATTGTTACAACTCGTGTAAATATCATCATCCAGAGAAGGCAATTATATAGCAATTCATTAATCGGAAATGAGATGATGGCTGAATCTGGCTGTCCAGCTCTTTCAGGGAGTTCTTTTCTATATTGGCCAGCCTGCACCAAATACTAACAAAATCAGCAGCTACAACCGCAGAGTAACTTTTTGTATATCTTAAAGGCCAGATCTGAATCCACTCATTTTACATCATTAATGATCAGTCACTTGTACAAAAACATCAATACCTTAACATCAAATGTCGGATTATTGAAACGACAGTTATTTCCATAACCACATAATCCAGTTCTTAAATAATAAGAACAATCCGGTTCACCAGGACGATCAGGGAACGAGGCTGATTTAGAAACACCCACCTCTTGATTATTATCATTAATTTTCAACCGCAAAATTGCTTCTGAAACAGTAAGGAAAGACGGAAACAAAAAATTATCCAAAGCTATAATCTCTCAAAAGGGGAAAATACATCTTGATTATCACATTTAACAACTAAATAAAAATTACTAAATCAAGTAACACGGTAAATTTTGTTGTTGAAAAAACAACGTTTTAGATACTTCAAAAACTATTAAAGCTAGATATAGAAAACTATGAATAAGAATTTAATTTTTTTAAAAGAAATTGAAACAATGATCACTGTAACACCCATTTCACGTATATCTTTCCGTACACGAGATACATATGTCACGTCATTTTTAAAATATTTACTCCTTTGAAAATCCGTAAAATTTTGTTTATTTTGATAAATTATTTTAATTTAATAATAATAAAACATTCATTAAACTTACATAGGTAAACAAAAAGTAATGTTCAAACATTTTATATTTTTACATCATTGTAAATCAAATACTTTTAAGAGCATTATTCCTAAGTCTATTACATGCCAACTAAATACATAAAAAATAAACATGGTTGCCGTACAATTACTGATGAGGCGCTCTTTGATTTGTGATGTCGGACGAACTTCTTACTCCGCTCGTATTAAAACCTACATGTGAAATTCACTTAGTGAGGCATAATAGTCTTAAGGTAAATTCTAAACACGAGTATATTTCAACAATTCAAATATCAATTAACTATTTAATTTCATTATAAATTCTATAGTTTGCAACCGTAGTGTCAATACAATAATTCACCACCTCATTAAGAATTACGTGGGATGCACATTTAATACCAATACGAAAATTTATAAATTCATTATGAATTTCTTAGGTTGCAAACACACAGTGTCAATAAGGAAATTCATAAACTTATTATGAATTTATTAGGTTGTACACATAATGCCAATACGGAAATTCATACGGAAATTCATAAACTTATTATGAATTTCTTAGGTTGAACACATAATGCCAATACGAAAATTCATAAACTTATTATGAATTTCTTAGGTTGCACAAATAGTGTCAATACGGAAATTCATAAATTTATTATGAAATTCTTAGGTTGCACACATAGTGCTAATTGGGTAAATGCAATACACACATTAAGCAAAATACATCTATGACTATCATAACATATAAGTACATAATAAATGCACTCACCTGGCCTGCCTAACTATTATATCCAAAAATGCAAATCCGACTACTCAACGACTTTATCTTTGCCTTTCGGTTTGCTTGACTCGGGAGCTTAATTACGATCTACTCAAACATCCATTAAAGACACATACCATACCAAATGTTAGTATATTCCCTAACATTTATACTTTAAAAATACTCAAAAGTACTATCATTTAATTTTATATAAAAATCTCAACCTATCTTAAAATTTTTGGCTCAATAGTATCAGTACTCCTACCATGGTATCGATACTTCTATACTATGGTACCGATACTCCCTTTCAGTATCGATACCATTTCTACATTCTGGATCCATGGTATTGATACTTTTCTCCTAGTATTAATACTTATATACTATGATATCGATACTCCTTTTCAGTATCGATATCATTTCTACCTTTAGGATTCCTAGGTATCGATACCTTTTTCTTAGTATCGATACTCACTTCAGTATCGATACTAGTACATTAGTATCGATACCGTTCAACTGATTTCCCCAAATTTAACATATAGTATCGATATTGTTCTTCCAGTACCAATACCTTGCCCAGATTTTCCATTTTTCAGACTGATTCTTTCCCAAATTTGGTCAAATTTCCTTATGTTTACTCCCAACAATACTATTAAACATTTATACTTATCCCAACTAACTTCCCTTCATTTAGTTCCTTAAAACATTGACAATCTCCAAAGAACATTCCAATCCAATAATCATACTACTTTTTCTAACTTGTTTTTAAACCTATCCAATGCTTCTAATCTCTTATTTACTTCTTTGAGAAGTCAAATATACTAGTAAACATCAATAAAAACTCATATCTTAACATATCATTCAAAAACCCATTTTCTTACATCTTAAATACTTCATCCATCTTTTAGTTTTAATCTTATTTAATCCTTCCTTAAGTCTCTATAATATTCAAAGATTAAAAAAACCAAAAACGAAAGGAAAAGTTAGCTAAATAAAACCTTACCTTTGGCTATGGAGGAGAGCCTTTACACAGAGAAGAAGAATAGATAACTTAGTGTTTTTCACTTGCCCCTTTTTCTTATACTTTTAGTACTCTAATAAAAATGAATTTTAAATTCATTTCCCCTTAAAGGACCAAAATATCATATTTATCCATCCATTATTACAAATTAGTTTAAAATACTATTCCAAATTATTTTCTCACATTTTATCATTTATTCAAATAAATACTCAATTTTAAATCTTTTCAATAAAGTCTCTAATATGATATTTGGGGTACTACAATCAGAATGAAGAATGATCATCACAAAGAAAATATTCTCAAAGTAGAAAAACAATTAAATTAACAAGCAGATAAAATATAAATGAGGCATCAGATCTTCCTATATTTGAAGTAACAAAGGATTATGGAAAGAATCGAGCACTACCTACAATGTTATCAGAGCATTGATTCGAGACACCGTTGCTCTGAATTTTCTGATTATCAGGCATCGGTTTCATGGCAGCGAATTTATGAAACCGTTTCTTCCTTTCCAATCAAACGATCAACAATAGAAAAAAAAAACAATTTCAATTCATATGCATAAATCAAAACAATTCTCTTTCATGAATTTCAAAAGCGAGAAGGATTTAAATAAGAAGATTGTGAAGATCAAGAGTGAAAAGAGAGATGTTTCTTATTTTTTTCCTTGTGGAATAAGGAAGAGAATATGACTAATAAAAAAGCGAAATCATAGAAAATATTCCAATTCGATTTTGTTTATATATATATATATATATATATATGATTCTCCTTTTAGTGATGTAAGTGGAAATTTAGGATTTTCATATTTGTGTGTAGAAAGAAAAAATGTATTCTTTTTTACAAGGATTCCAAGCAAGCTTCCAAATGACAAAAATTTCTTTCAGCTAGGTTTTAGCGAAGTGAAAGACATTATTGCCAATTTGTCCACATAAGGCGCAAGTGCAACAACCCCTTTCTCAGTTAATTAATATTATTATCCGCAACGTGTGGTTTGTTGTTGGAAAATAAAAACCAGGCCACACCATGTGTTTAATTCTGTATTTAAAGCATTTTAATATCTCTATCTACTTTAATCTTTAAATATACATTTAAATATAAATTTATTATTATAATTAAAATACCGTATCATGATATACCATAATTGTCTTTTCAGTCCTTTATCTTAACTCCATTAAACAGTATCGTGAATATTTTATATAAATTATTTACTGATTTCCGTGGAGAGAAAAAACGAAATACGACAAGTCGTCGACGTCAGCATGGTGCCGTCTGGGCCAGTAGATTTTGTGCGGGTGGGACCCATAGTCGGCCATTCACACAGGAAAAACAAAACAATAACATCAGTTATAAGGGTAAACTTGTCTTTTCATTCATATATTATTACTTAGTAGTATTTCAAACACTACGCGAAATCTCTTTAAATTTATTTATTTATTCTCCTTTACGAAAATTTTAAAAAAAAAAACAGAAAGGCCACATTTCAATGCAAAATATCTCAAAATCATCTATACCGGTGGTTAGATGAAAGTTAGCTTTTGCATTTAATATTATCATTTCAATGCCACATTTACATATATACTATTTTAATATAAATAAAGAAACATGAATCTAAATATATATTATATTACAATTTATAAATAAGGTAAGAGTTGAAATATAAACAATACATTTAAAAAATTCAAAAAAAAATTTAAAGTTGCATATAATGTTTAAAATTAAAATGTTATATGATTTACCAACAATCAATTGGTTTAATGGTATGAGACACTAATTTTTTAAGCAAAGTTAATATTCTCAATTCTGACATTATGAATAGAGCAAACTGAGTTAGAATAGTCATCATCAAAATAGATCTCTACAATACTCCATCTGAATTGACTGACTAAAAAAATATATGTCAATAATTAAACAAATAAATGATTCTATGTTCTTTGAGGAGTCCCTTATTCCTCTTATATGTAGTTTAATCACAATATATTCATTACCAACAAAATTACCAAGCGTGCTTCATTTATTTCATTAATATACCGGGCACATCATATAGCCGTTATTCATGAACCATACCATTTTTAAAATGATATTATTATTAACTCACACATGCATACATCAAACATTAGTATAACTAACACATGTTCAAACTCATACTCCGATACTACTACACGTTACATTAAGACATGTAATCAACCCTTATTCAATATCCATACTCAAATCATATTCATATTAGTCATTTTATCATATATCATTTTGTTTACTTGTACATCGAATATATTTAAAAAAAACATACGTGCACAAATAAATAATCGATAATGAGGTATTTCAACCGTACTTATATCATGAATGTCGTATAAAAGACATGTGTCGCCAAGGTTGTATAAGCATGTGTACCACTACGACTGTATAAATATATTCATAATAAAATTAATAAATTTAATTACTTGATACGACGACATCACCAATGTTCTATAATCAATATAATATTACCGCTAGGACTGTATATTTAGAGAACTCGTTAATCTTTCTTATTAATATTAGTTATGCTCTATTATCCAATTCGAAGTTCAACAAGTTTAAACGTAAAATACATCTTTCAATTTAAAAAAAGTTTAAATGATCGTTTCTTCAAATAAACGGATGAATCTCTTTTTTTTAGGAGGTTGGTCCGTTTATGCTAAATGGCTAGAGCCAATTCTTTAGGACCTTACTACCCAAAAAGATCGACCCTTCCTTTACGTCTACTTGTAACAAAACAAAGGTTTTCATTTGAAAGTTATTAAAAAATCATTTTATCAAAATAAAATAGAAATTAATATAAATTAAGAATCTAACTGAAGTGAATTAAAATGAATTTTTGAAAAATATATTCAACCAAATCAGATTTATCTCACCCTCAACAACAATTATTAATAAAAAAGTCAAAGAAAGGCCCACGCCAAATAAATCTGGACAGATGGTTCGTGAATCACAAACAAATAGTAAAAAGTAGAACATTAATAGTTAACTAAATTTATAAGTCCTGTAGAGTAAGCCTAATCAATAATCATCCTAGGAAGAGGAATCCTAGGAAATTATCCTGGACAAATCCCACGGCGGTTGTTGATAGAACACTAGTCCACTTCACGTGGTTAGTATGCCCCAAAACAGCAGTTTCGCATGTAAAATTATTGTCTGAAAACCAACTTGCTTGTGTTGCGTGGCATCTGAAAACAGAACACTAATGTTATGCAAATAAGCTTAACTCGAGTTTAGTTTGGTTGAATCATCCTATCCCTTTCAAACATAATATACAATGGCATTCCAGTTTTGTGATCTACAACTCTTTCAATTATTCTTAGAATACAACTATGCTTAATTTCCAAGCTCATTATAAGAGCATGTATTCAAAGAATTTGTACAAGAATCAAAAGGAAACTATAATATTAGATTATTAGTGCTGGTAAATACATAATTTTTAAGAACAAACACGTACGCGGGACATACTATACGTACATAGAGTGTACTCATATAAAAAAGTTACTTTATTATTTCTAAAACAAATATTTTAAACAAATTTACTCCATAGATATGGTGGAAGCCAACCCTAACTAAGTTAAAGAGAGATGAGACCAGAAGATACAAGGAAGGAGAAGAAATAGCTCAGGAGGGATAGTATATCAATAAGAATTTTCTCGAACCCTTGACATAATTCTTATGTTCGGAATCTCTTAAGAATTTCGAAACCGGTCGATGCCGAAATTGTATCGCTTACGGTCTTGCAAGGTCAAGAAAACTTAAATGATCATCCAAGGGCTGAGAAAAAAGAAGAAAAGATGTAAGAATAATAAGCTCAGGAGAGATATCGCCACGAATTTTACAACACAAATAATCTGTGGTTTCGACCCGGTGGACGAATCAGGTCCATGACTGAGAGTGGCAACGGGCATTGCCGTCGTCGAGTCATAGATAGGAGGAGCTTATGGCTGGGAAAGCCAATGAAGAAGGGTTAAGGCCTTTGGACTGATCAGTAGAAAATGGCGGCCTTTGGACTGATCAGTAGAAAATGGCGGCCTTGGGACTGATCAGTACAAAATGGCTATGGAGGAAGAGGAACAGTGCCATGAAAGATGAGAAAAAAGCTCGTTAGGCTTACCTATTTATATACAGCCTCTGGCTTGTGGCCCGGAAGTTTATCAAAGTAATAACAACGGATTTGGTTGCTGTGTCGTTTTCAAACAACATAATGAAATATTTAGATTTATAATAAGGGTTTGTTTTGTTAATTAAATGCACTCTTTTACCTCTTCTTGATTATTCCTTTGAAATTAAAGAATGTTTTTTTTACTTTGTTAGGAAATTAAATAATACTTAATTTACAGCTTTTGACCCTTCACAGTTACATTGAACGAAGATTTACCATTACGTATATTTTAACTAATATTTAATTTGAACTCCGGTTAATTATTCCATTTGATTTTTAATATTGTCCTATATATTTAAAAAATGTGATATTAGAAAATTCAACAAACAAAAATACTTATATTTACTATTTTATCCTTATATATTCCACTCTTTTATACCTATCAAAATAAATCTATTAAATATATCAATCACTTTTTAGGGATACTTTTGTCATTTCCCTTGGTCAAATATATCTCTTAAAACTATGTGCATAGTCAATATAAGATACGAATTATGGAACAGATGGAGTATAATAAAGACCTAACAAATTTGACCCGTATCTGATTACCCGAACTGATTTAACCAATCCAAGACCTAATATAGACCTGAACAAGATGACCCAAAATTGATCTGAAACCCGAAATATCCGAACATAAAGTAGCCTGAAATGAAAGCAATCCGAATTTAATTTACCCATATATGTTTCGAACTGAACTTCGACCCAATTTTATCCCGATAATTGAATTTAAGTGAATGAATAATTTATTTATTTATTTATTATAGATTTTTAGCATTGATAAATAGAAAAATGATATATATTTTATTCTCATTTTATATTATACTACTAGTTAACCATAACTTATAGTAATAGTTTAATGGTTCAATATAATCTTTTCTAATTTAAAAGGCCACCCCTAAATTTGATGAAATAACTTCTAGCTCCGACTTTAGACTATGACAATTATATTCACATAAAATTCTTGATTATAAAGATTTATTGATTTGATTTATTAAAGCTAAAACTTTTTTTTATAGAAATTGAAAGTCTCATTAAAAACTTCATTAAACTTATCGATATATGGAAGAATATATCAATAAGTAGCAGAAGAAGAAAAATAGTACCTCATCTATTATATATAAATTAATAGTCCAAGTACAACATAATAAAACATAAAATACATCCTACTACACCATCGATAATAACTAAAAGAAACATGCTTCAGGCATTAGCCAATCCCTTGTTTTGCCAAACCATCCGCCAAAGTATTGCAACTTTGACTAACAAAACGCAAGATAACTGATTTTTCCATAATCACTGTC